TGTAGGGAAGCACACAGACCTAAGGCCTTTGCTTCACTCTGTTGTCTGGAAATGTGGTGGGGAGAACTGTGGTTACACTGTTGGTGTAAGCTACTCTGCTGCTGGCTTTTATGGTTTTATTGCAGACAGACCCCATAATATTAGATATTTATCTTAAAATCATTGAAGTTGAACTGTCATAAAGTAGTTTTCAGCTTTCAGAGGATGTAAAGAAAAACTTGAAAATATAAACTGTGTGATCAGGGAGTAAATACCTTCTTCAGAATATAGTTTAAAAACCAAATACCATGATATTTTGTTCAGACAGAACAGGTCAGCCGTAATGCACTCATCATGAGCCCCGTACACATTCCAAATATTGAGAAATAAAATAGGGATAATTTCTGAAGTGCTAATAGCAGGTTTATTGTCTGTCTGAGAATATCTGATGATCATCAGCACACCTCCATAACAGAACTCGTTCCAAAACACGGGCTTCTATTTCATCTGCTTGTGGAAAGGAGGTTTGTTTCTTTACTCCTTTCCTAGAGCAGATGGTACAGTTTTGCTTCACAGTACCCTTTCTCTCTAATGTTTAAGTCCACTGACTTCATGAGCTAGGTTACAGTACTTAAAATACTTCGGTCAACAATTATCTGTTTCTGTTCTTCACATTTGAATCCACAAAAAGTGTCATACATAGTTTGTTTATCATCTAAGAACAATGCAATGACAGATTATTAAAAAAAAACTCACCAAACCTTGAAATCCATTTCCCTAGGAAAATGAAACATATAAGAAATAACTTCACATTTGTTTGCAGAAAAACAGCTTGATTTTAGCAAATTTAGCAAATAAAAATCAGACCTGCCCCACTGAGAGAGCCATCCTCCTGACACCACTGATGCACCCTTCCCTGTTCCTTGAGAACAGGGGCTATGTCCCACTGCGTCACCTTGCTCCTCTTGGTAACAGCTTAATTCCAAGATTGTGTGAAGTTCTCTTATACACAGGTTGCAGGTGAGTGTTGCTTGAGGACATGTTAATTTACAAATAATAAACACAATTGTAATTCCCAGCAGGTGGGCATATTGTCATAGATATTTTTTTAATGCCACTTCCTCCTTCGTACCATAGTGCATGCACTGTGGGTTGCATTCATGTCATTCTCCACTGTAAATGAGATGCTTATGAGGAGCGGCTGAGGGAGCTGGGGTTGTTTAGTTTAGAGAAGAGGAGGCTGAGAGGAGACCTTATCACTCTCTACAACTACCTGAAAGGAGGGTGTAGTGAGGTGGGTGCTGGCCTCTTCTCTAAAGTAACAAGTGATACGACAAGAGGAATTGGCCTCAAGGTACACCAGGGAAGGTTTAGGCTGGATATTAGGAAAAATTTCTCCACTGAAAGAGTGGTCAGACATCGGAACAGGCTGCCCAGGGAGGTGGTGGAGTCACCATCCCTGGAGGTGTTCAAGAAACGTGTAGCTGTGGTGCTTAGGGACATGGTTTAGTGAGTTAGGTGGTGTTGGGTTGGACTTGATGATCCTTGAGGTCTTTTACAACCTTTATGATTCTATGAAAAATGACTAAAACAATGAAGTGGAACAACCATTGTGGTTTCGTTATTTAGTCCAGTACTCTATTTCATTCCAAAATAAACTGAAAGAAAACAGAGTAGTTATAACCAAAACTTTGGGTTTCCTTTTTTCCAAGACATGTGCTTACTTTGAGATTTCCCCCAAAATTAAAAGCACATGAGAGTTTACAGGATGAAAACATGCCATTCTGAACTGTGCAAGATCACCAAGAAGCCTTGAAATAGGCCAGAAACTAAATTCCTTCAATTACAGGCTAGTTTCTACGCTGCCTCTTGGTGAAACATCAGAGTTGCCATAACCCTCTTTGCCAATGTTTCAACCCAATGTTCTTTTCAAAATTTCTTGCCTTCAAATTTCTGTTGAAAGCAACAGTTGTGCACAAACAATACTAATAGGATACAGCTCATAATCATAATGCTTTATCTAATAGAAATCCATGTTAGAGCTAGTTCTGCCATAGTGTTTTACAAGGTAAGCCAAGTATGACTTGAGAGAAGTATCAGGAACCTAGTTCTGCCATTTCTGCTGGTCAGGTTTATGTTACTGGGTTTTGTAGTGAGCATATTCTTTATAGATTACTTATCCCAAATTTGTAATCTCTCTTGAGGAGGGATTCTGATGCAAACTGGAGCTTATGAACTTAACAATATTGAACAGTAAGCATAATAGTAGTAATAAGTAGTAACATGGAAGAAATGCTTGAATACTTGTCCACAAAGCAAAGAAATGCCTGTTTAGAAAAAGTCAACATTTTGAAACACTACACAGAAATCACCTTAAATAAGTTAAAGAGAACTTATTTTCTATGGAAAGTAAGTTTAAAGTCTTTGACTTATTAACATCTTTTAACTATTTACATCTCAGCTGCCATTGTCTACCAAAATCCAGACAGTTGCTTTTTTACCTGATTTTTAATGTGATTTAAATTAAACTACAGTTAAGAATTACTGAGAAAATCAGAATTATCTTAGCTCAAGTTTTAGATAACATTTGATCCATATTGTATCATGTTTGGGTAGTTCTCCCTGCTGCAAAGTATAATCAGAAATCAAAACTTCAGTTATTATCCTTATGGGATCCCTTGGTATGTGATGCAGGTCTTAAATAACGAAGCCTACTGACAAATGAACTCTAACTGAACAATCATATTGTCTTTATAGTGCCCCACCTGTATAAGTAGTTTCAACAGTTACTCTAGAATGTCATTTAAAGAATACAGTTCCATTAAATCTGTTCCTAAATATTCTTAGACTACATGTGTCTTCTAGAAGCATATGTAAGTGTCAGTTAACAAATCTGGGTGAAGTCCTATTCATGACCTTGCAATTCAAATCACTGGGAAAAAAAAATAATATCTAACAAAAAAAAGCACTTACACAGGCCGTGAGTGCCATTACTTCTGCAGTCCTTCTGTACAGAGACAAGTTTTTAAAGTTTTTTTTTCCTACAAAGAAAAAGTCTAGAAGGCTTCTGTAGAGAGAAAAAATAGCCTCTGCAGTTTACAAATCCGTACAATAGTTCAAGTTCATTGGGTTAGCTCTGAAATTACATGCCAAGAACTTAAAATGTTTGAACTATAGTGCTTTGTACCCATGAAAAAATACCCCACGGACCATGCAGTTTGCTCTAGTTTCAGACGCAGTTACCAGAACTGTATTACCTAATTCTGACTGCAGGCTTGAAATGTATCGAATGGTTGATTTATAATTAGTGGTCATTTAAGGTTGACTGTGTATTAATAATAAAATTATGGAGCAGTACTCCATTCCATCTTCCATGTTACATGCAGTAACTACTTCCCTAACTCTGTAAGCAACAACTGATGTTCTGTGTTAATGTTCTGTTCTTACCAGGAATGTAAGGTGGTCAACAGTTGGCCACAAACATCGCAGGTTTTACAAAAAGTTTCGGGCTATAATTGATTGTGGGATTTTGCTGAGTGATTGCAGGTAGGGGAAGCTCTGCAGACCTCATTTGCACATGAAGGAATTCTTTTCAGATTTTCATGTTTTCATCATAAAAGTTTGTTTCAGCTGTTCTGTATATATTTTTGAAAAGGATATAGAGAAACATGATTTTAGATCGTTATGTAGTAGCGCTTTAAAAGAAAAAATGTTACTGAAGTAGAATATGAAATTAAATCTAGTGATGCTTTTTAAAAACTGCATAACTATTCTCATTAAATATTGCAGTATATACAGTGGAGTGCCCAGGCTGTTAATCATCATAGTCTGTTTTTACAGGATTTGTCACAGAGTAACTATCATGATCAAACATGACAAGCAGGTATTATCACCTTTTTTTTCAAATACAGACATGTAACAGATTCATGTATTTGTTTTCCCAGACTTCCTTATATCATCACTATTCAACAGACAGAGGCTTGGACAGGCCCTCTAGGTAAGAAATACAATATGCAATTTCAATAGACACAAATTATACAGCCTGAGGGGTTTTTTTTGTGATCTGAAGCCAGCAGATGTTGCAAAGAGTCAGATTTGAACATTCAATTTGTCATCTGCTGACAAAATAGAGAGATGCATGGAAAGGGTGTTCATATTTTGATACTGAAGTACAATTCTTCCTTTTGTTTTACAAGGTCTTACTGTTTACAATCAAAATAAGCCATGCTGTGTTCTGGGTCTTTCCACTGACATCCTTGAGCTTCTGTCTCAAAAGCAGCGAGCTATCATTTAACCTTCACGCCTGCAGCACTTCCAGTGCTGTTTCCCTAAGCATGCCACCTCATCCGTTCTTGGTCTCTTTCCTCTCTTTGCACAGAGTCCTAGTACTCCTAGTACTAAAGGCAACTCACCGCTCAAATTTTAATCTGTAGGTGCCTTTTTTTTAATATAATGAATACTTACATAGTTATTACTTAGTCATAAAAGCAACTCCTGTAATAACTGGTTCAGCATCCTGAACAACCAGATTGTTTCACTTGTCCATGTTAGGTCCCAGTGTAGTACACGTATCTCAGTAGCCAAATCTTCTTCTGACCTTTCACAAGGATTTTCTTTATGATCTGAATTTACACTGTGACTGCTCTTTCCTGCCTACATATACCTCACACAAGCAGTGTTGCCAGCAAAAGTCAAGATTCATCACACTGCCCAGGCAGAGCCTAATGCTGTTTCAGTGCTAAGACTGCTGGGCATCTCCTAGCAGGTTAAAGTACCAGGAGGATGGGAGAGTGCCAGCCCAGGGTGAAACAGGAAAGGCCAAATGCCAAAAAAGAGTAGAAGTATGGAAAAACCTGAATAAAAAGGCTTTTCAATCAACACTTTTACTTAATTTTTAAATATAGTATGTTATTGCTACTTTAGCAAAATGGATATAGAAACAGATTTCATTCGTTGTTGATATTTTTAGAGTATTTAAAAATACTCAAAAAAATGATGCATTTATTTCAAAGTCTTTCCTATGGAAATGACATTAGCAATTCTGTATAAAACTTCAGGTGAAGAAGAAATTCAGTTTTTCTCTGAAATATGCTGTAAGATATCTGAGACCAGTACTTTCTCCCATTTATGTGTTTTTGATGTATTTGTTCTGCCATTGTTTAATCTATAAGCCAATGATATAATTATGAGATTACTTTTTAAACTCCTGAAATCTGGTCTCAGAATTAGACTGCTGCTAATACTGCTTATTTCTGCAGTTCTGCAAGTGACTACAGGAAAAGGAGGAAGTCGGAACCTGCTGTAAGTCATCAGAGGGTGCACAGCGACCAGAATGCAAACAGGCTGGGCCTGGGCCGTACAGATATGCAAGGCCCTTATACCACCCTTAGAAAGCCTTTCACTAGCTCATCTCCTTCTTCTCCATCAAGAGCAAAAGGTAAGAGGAAAGCATAGTTGTTAGCAGAAAACTACTGATGATATGTTGTACGATACATTGGCAGTAAATGTAGCCTACTGTTGCTCACTGCACTTTACTGGGAGATTTACTATATGAAGCAATAGCTCTAGGCCTTTCATGAAAGACTAACTTCTTATTCTTACATGTTTAATTTTAAGCTGAAAAGCTGGATTTTTAACAAGGATTTTCCAGTGTCAACTGCTTATTCTAACAAAAGAAAATTGACTAAATGAAGCCTATGATTTGTACCACAATATATACACCCAAAAGTTTTATTAACTCCACTACATTAAGTTATTGTGATTTTAAAACTGTTTTCAGTATATACAGAAGGTAAATCAAGACAGACAGTATATAAGATGAAAGATGTGATTCCAGAATAGTAGACCTTTCAAATCCATAGCTGATGTCTTAGACATTGTCAGTTATCAGGACCCAATTTCATCAAGCAAACTCAAACTCAGTTCATAGTCTTGAGTTTTGATTTTGTAAATCCTTGAAGTATTTAGTACAGCATATAATTAGCTTCTGTAGTGGGTCTGGCTGAGATGGAGTTAATTTCCCCATAGCAGCCCTCACAGTGCTGTGTGTTGCACTGGTAGCTAGAAAGGTGTTGATGACACCAGCGTCTTGGCTACTGCTTAGCAGTGCTCTCACTGCATCAAGGCTGTCTCCCCCCACAACCCCCCGCCTCCAGTAGGCTCAGGGCCTCAGGGGCGGTCAGGATCTTGGGAAGGGATAGGGCCAGGACAGCTGACCCAAATTGGCCAAGGGGATATTCCATACCATATGACATCAGCTCAGAAATAAGGGGGGGGGGGGGTAGGGCATTCGTTGTTAGGACGTTTGTCTCTGGGAGCAACAGCTACGCATATTGAAGCCCTACTTCCCGGGAAGTGGCTGGACCTTGCCTGCTGATGGGAAGCGGTAACATCTCTGTAATTCATAAGGAATTATTTTTTATGTTCAAATTACCATGACTACATTTATACAGCTGGAAAAATAACTTAATTATTAGCTCTGCTGTCCCAGGCTGTTGCAACCTATGTACTGACCTAAGCTGACAGATGTACTAATTGCTCTCTCTTTTCTAGTCTTTCTAATGCTTACTGATGTTAATTCCAACTTTCTGAATCTTTTAATTTCTGGCAATGTCTCTTTTACCATGCTGCTCTATGGATTATAAAGGTGGGGATATTAGCAAAGTATATCCATCCCTTTTAAGTTATTCAGTGCACAACCACAACACCTCAAATGAATTAGATTACTGTAGCACTTACAGACAACATTTAGCTGTTCCAAACGATTCAAGAAGGGCAATCAGCTACAAGAATGGCTGGCAAATGACTCGTCAAAATGCAGAAGTCTGGAGCAGCACAGAAGAAACTGCTTCTCCAAAGAGAAAATCACGTAGCTGTGATGATCTGTTAACGGATGATCGTGACAGCTTTCCTGATGCACAGGCCAAGTCTGAAAGCATGGGCTCTCTGTTACGTGAGGAGGACTCCAAAGAAGTTTGCTCAACAAACTGGACCTCTCCATATGTTGAGGGCCATGTTAGTAGTAGACCAAGAGTTCGTCACAGATCTGCACATGATGTCCCAGGTTTCCTAAAAATGTACAAAAAGATGCATCGCATCAATCGCAAGGACTTGATGAATTCAGAGGTGATTTGTTCTGTGAAGTCCAGAATACTGCAGTATGAAAAAGAACAGCACAAAGGTATTCTTCAAGGTTGGAGAGAGTCTTCTACTGAAGAGGTGCCCAGAGACATGGTGCCAACCAGAATATCTGAATTTGAAAAACTAATTCAGAAGTCAAAATCAATGCCAAACCTAGGTGATGAAATGTTGTCAGCTGTTACACTAGAGCCTCCTATAAATGGCTTATGTCCACAGAGGAGATTTTCTATCGAATCCTTACTGGAAGAAGAAAATCAAGGCAGACATCCCTCTCAGGTACAAAGGAGCTACAAGTCTAAAACCCTGGTGCCAATTCATATTGAAGTGACAAGTGATGAGCCGCAACAATCACATATAGATTTTTCAGACAGTGATCAAGATGGAGTGGTTTCTGACCTCAGTGACTTTATCCAGATAGAGGGTTCATCCTTTTGTAGTGAAAGTGACTTTGACCACTTTTCCTTTACATCATCTGAAAGCTTTTACGGATCAGGCCATCACCACCACCACCACCGGCATCTCATCAGCTCCTGCAAAGGGCGATGCCCAGCATCCTACACCCGCTTCACCACCATGCTAAAACATGAAAGGGCTAAACAAGAAACCAGTGAAGATCCAAGGAGACAGGAAGCAGAATCTGGCCTCTCTAAGATAGCATTCCTAGTCAGTCCAGTGCCTTTCCGAAGGAAAAAAAGTGCAGCTCCTAAAAAACAAACTGAAAAGAAAAAATGCAAGTCATCTGTATTTGAAGCACTAGATTCTGCACTTAAAGACATCTGTGACCAAATTAAAGCTGAAAAAAGAAGGGGAAGCTTGCCTGACAGCAGTATATTACACAGACTTATTGCTGAGCTGCTTCCAGACATTCCAGAAAGGAATTCATCTCTTAAAGCTCTGAAAAAGACTCCCATGCACGAGCCTTTTCATCCACTGCCTCAAGATGGTGCTATCCACTGCCCACTGTACCAGAATGATTGTGGAAGATTACCTCTTAGTGCCTCTTTTCCAGACATGGACGCAACTAACAACAATGATAGTGCACTGTGTTTCCAAGGTGGATTAACTTTCTTGTTCTGTCCTTGTGATTTACCTATCCAACCTTACTCCCTGTATTACCCATCCCTTCTCATTCCATTTCTGTGTCGTCTATAACCTTTCATCCCACAAAATTCTTGATGAAGGTTGTCATTTCTACATAGGTGGTGAGGATAGATAAATTTGCTGTCTATTCACAAAATACAGTAATCTGCACAACTGGGGTAATGGTGTATTTCAACTAATAGATTATTAGCGCTATAAATTACAATCGTGTTATTAAATTAAGCAATGTGGGGTTTTTTCCCCAAGAAAAAGGACTTACAGAAAGTGAACGCATGCATCATAAGATGCTGGTCAAACAGAAAACTATATGCAGGTAGCCCTTCCTTTATTATTTAAAAAAAAAAAAAAAAGTCTGCATCTAAAACACGTACTGTGTAGTTTTGTTACATGCAAGTGATAAATATGGTGTTAATTCTGCCAGTATCATAGAAAGTTGATTCTATTTTCTTATTAAAATACACTAATTCTGCTGCTTCATATTACTTTTTGTGAATAGACCTTAAGGTCATTTTAGAAGGTTTCCATTTCCACTGTTCAAACAATACAATTTCCAATTTCTGTGGCAGCAAAACCAGTACTTCTCATAGAATTTTAATATATCTATGAAGTTTTGAGAAATTTTGTTTCCTCTTAGAAGAGAAATTCTCAATAATCAAAACTTGAATGAAATTGTGAGGGTGAGTATAGCTTTTAAAATAGTCTGTCTTCACAGTGATCTGGTTTTAAAGTTGCTACTTTGAGTTGTTTGTTGCTCTTGCTTCTCTTTTTCTCAAAAAAAAATTGCTTGAGCTTAAAATGTTTCTAAAGTTTAACCTTGCAATATTAAAAGAAGCAAACTAGATTCATAGCAGGAGTGCACAAAGGAGTATCCCAGATGACTTAGATTAATGTCTTTGGCAAGTCTTTAATTTCTTTCTCTTTTTAAATTATAACATTTCCATGTAAAAGAATTCTGCTTCTAGATATACAGTCCTCTGTGACAGAGCATCTTTGAGAATTTAATGACACTGCAAAGCTATCTTTGAACTCTCAAATGGATACAAGAGAGAATGTCTTTAATGTATCAATTATGCAATATTTGATCAGACCCATCTTATTTATCTTTAATCTCCCATCTTTTTCTGTAACTTTTGCAAGTATCACACTGGTAAATATTTCAAGAGAAATCAGAATTGAAGCTGTTACCATTTCTTCTTAACTAGATAAAATAGACATATTGAGAACAATGAATTTGATAAAGAACAGCTATAAAATGCAGTTCAGAATTTAGTCATACTTGAGGCCTGATCATGATTAACCCTGGCAGGCAGTACTAGACGATGAGACTGAAGTTGTGGAAATTGCACTGGTCAGGTATCACGATTGCTAAATGAGAACTTTCCAGTCCCTGAAAACAAGGAAATCCACAGTGCAGAGTAAACGTGGATTCTTAATAGCTTCTGCAGATATAAAGGAGCCTGGAATGAGGAAGGTGGTACACTCTGTCAACATTAATATCTCTAAAGTAGCATGGAGAATGAGTACAACAGAATATTCCATTGACTTTCATCAGCACCAGTCATGGCTGAGCTCTACTTCTAATGAAGTTTCGTGGTTTTGTGGATGTCTGTGTGTCTCTTACAGCCACCATCCACACAGAGACCCAAAGTCATAGCAAAAAACACTGAAAACTACCAATATTGACTGCATAAGAAGCTGTATAGAAATAAGGAAATAATTCTTCCTAAAGCTTCTGTGTTTTCACTCCTTCCCTCCCCTGTCCTTCTCTTTCTGTTAGAGTTTAAAGAAAAAAAAAATAGATTTGTTTGGAGATGTTATATCTTTAGGTTTACACAGTAAGCATAGATCCTCATTCACAGACACATGCCATATCAGTAAAACTGTCCAGAACTGGGAGTGTGATATACTTTTTGGTGATGGCATGCTTACAGCCAATGACCTAAATAATACAATTA